AGTCTTTAGACATTCTCAGAGTAAGATCAACTTCACAAGGAGAAAGCCATGCAGGCATGTGTACACTGGGGTCAGAATCTACAGTCACGAAAGGCAAAATCTCATTTACTTACATGCTGTACATTGAAAAAGCCAAGTTCAGAGACACCTGCCTCCTCCGGCAGCAGTGGCGGCTGGGGAGTGAATACAGCACACAGTCGCTCTCACTCTCATCCCCCAGGCAATGAAAAAAAAAATCCCAACTGTTCCTCCCAGTCACGCCGTCTGCAAGGCCGCCCTAGCGCCACCTCGCTCTTCTCCAAGCAGCAGTGGCGGTAACTAGGGAAGGCTTGCTGCCTTCCCCTCGCTCCACCCCACCATGTGTCTGGCTGCCCCAGAGAGGCACCCGATTAGCGCAGTCAGCCCAGCAGGCACCAGAAGCACCCAGTGCCACATCTTCAGAGCCGAGAGAAGGGAACACCACCGCGACGTCCGTGCAGAGCTGCTTGACACACCTCGGGCTCCCCCAGCAAACCACAAACTCCTCCAAGTCCACATCCAGAGATTGCTTACTCCTTTCAAACTCCAAACTGTAACAACAGCACACCCTAATTGCTAACAATACAAGGGGAGGGGAGCAAGACCCCCCCAAAGGAGAGCCTGTCAGGGTCGCACAAAGGGCTGTGACAGTAATAGGCACCCTGACCGAGACAGAAGGCAATCAATTATAAACCATTTGCTGAAATTGCCACCTGTCAAAAGACTACTTTACAGCTGGGCTCCACTCAGCCAGGCTCCATTTGATTTTCAAGGGAAATTATTCTTTATTTGAAAAGTCTAGAATAATCCATAGGAAAAGACCCCAAAGAGCCCAGGTTCAACCAGGGTCTAATCCACAAAGAAGTTAATGACCAACAGCAACAGGAGGAGGAGCAGAATGGAGACCTAGGAGGGAGACAGGCGGGGCTTCACCCTGTGGCCAGCCAGGAGACTGCACGCTGGGGGAACCCCAAGACCCACGCCCAGCACACGCCGGACATGCCTCCCCAGTCTCCCAAATCACCATTTCCAAAACAGAAGACTACTTCCAGGAGATGAAGACAACACACAATGCCAAGCAGCAAAATAAAATTCTGAATTTGTAAGTTAGAAACTTTCTCTTTCTTTTCATTAACATCCTTCAGGGGTAGCCCTACAGGTGTTCATCCATTTTTTCTTCTCTGGAAGCAGAGAACAAGGAAATAAAGTGAACCCTAGACTGTTCCATAGTTTTTAAAATGTCCTGAGACTCGGGCCCGGTGCGACAGCATAGCAGTTAAGGTCCTCGCCTTGAATGCACCGGGATCCCATATAGGCACCGGTTCTAATCCCAGCAGCCCTGCTTCCCATCCAGCTCCCTGCTTGTGGCCTGGGAAAGCAGTCAAGGATGGCCCAAAGCTTTGGGACCTTGCACTTGCATGGGAGACCCGGAAGAAGCTCCTGGCTCCTGGCTTTGGATTGGTGCAGCTCCAGCCTTTGCAGCTGCTTAGGGAGTGAACCATCAGACAGAAGATCTTCCTCTCTGTTTCTCCTCCTCTCTGTATATCTGACTTTCCAATAAAATAAAATAAATCTTTAAAAAATTAAATAAAATGTCCTGAAATTCAGGCCCAGTGTGATGGTTCAATTGGATAATCCTCGCTTTGCAAGCACAGGGATCCCATATGGAAATTGGTTTGTGTCCCGGCTGTTCTACTTTCCATCCACCTCCATGCCTGTGGTCTGGGAAAGCAGTGGAGAATGGCCCAAAGCCTCGGGACCTTGCACCTGTGTGGGAGACCTGGAAGAAGCTCCTGGCTTCGGATCAGTCCAGCACTGGTCACTGCAGCCACTGGGGGAGTGAACCAGAGAATGAAGGATCTTTCTCTCTTCTCTAATCTCTCCTTCTCTGTGTAAATCTTCCCAATAAAAATAAGTAAATCTTTTTTTTTTTAATATCCTGAAATTTCCAGGTAGGAGCCCAAGCAATCTGACCCTTGTGGTAGGATAGGATTCTGGAGGCAAAGGCTCATCAGGTTGCGCATCCCTTCCCTTCTGAGCACGGCAACGAGCCAAAATGAAAGGGTACAGTCAAAACTGAGGTGTCCTGGGGGTGGCACCATGGCACAGAAGGCTAAACCTCCACCTGTGGCACTGGCATACCACATGGGTGGCCCAGTTTGAGTCCCAGGCAAGCACACAGGGTCTCTGGTCATGGGCATTTCCCCCCCAGAATAGCCGCAGTGGCCAAGGCTGGGGCAGGTCAAAGTCAGGAGATGGGAACTCCATCCAGCTCTCCCACCTGGGTAGCAGAAGCCCAGATACTCGAGCCATCATCCACTGCCCCTCTCAGCCCAGGCTCTGCACTAGCAGAAAGCTGAACCAGGAGCATCTGCAAGCACTTTGCTCTAGGGAGGAAATTAGCCACCCGGCCAAACGCTCACCACCCTGAACCCACACCCCCACTCAAGCTGCGCCTCTCCCTTCTCCTTGAAATCTCCAACTGGTGCTCCACACTCACTTTGAGACACCCTTTGGTTAAACGGCCACTGCTACACAATTTAGGGAATCAGCCTGACCAGGCTAACTTGTGATTCATCTATGGACTCTTACATTTGGGTGGAAAACTGATTTCCTTCTTAAGAACTTCACTGTGTGACGCAAGCGGCTTATTACAGAGGAAAGTCATTATCCCTGAGGGGCGTTAAGCAATCTGCCCAGGCTGCCACGTGGGGCCAGTTCCCCCACGGGCAGACTCAGTGTAAACAGCTTGCACCGAGGTTCAGGGATGTCTCAGTCCCCCTGTCTTCATTAGCCCCAAAACATCTGAGAGGAACCGCTCATGAAGGAAGGAAGAGGCGTAGTTGGATCTACGGTTGGAGACAGCAAGGGTTCAAGGCCAGGGCAGACCTGTCAGCCTGGCATGTGATGAACACGTGCCAAGCTGGAAAGCAGAGGCGCAGGAGGCGTGCCTTCTGCCCTCTGTTCTCTCCTGCTAAGGCCACTGGGTTTCCATCCTGGGACTCCTCCCTGGCAACCTACCCAAGCCAAGCACTTCCCAACGGCCCACTTCCACACACTAGGATTGGCTCAAGCTGCCACTCTCACCCATCACCCACTAGCACTGATCCCTGAGACTGCAGGGATCCAACGGTTGCATGAGTCTGGGGAGCCAAGCTCTGTTTGATCAAGGAGTTAAAAAAAAAAAAACCCTAAAGATCAAGTAACCTAAATACATCTGATGCTCCTTCAAAAAACTAACGCAGGATGGGGGGAGGGGTTAAAAATTAAGAAGTTCAGAGCAGAAAGCCTACCCAAAAGAACCACGTCCTGGGCGTCTAACTAGAGCAGGGAGGCAGCTGTGCTGAGGACATGGGAGGGGCAGGAGGAGCGAGCTTGGAGGGGGAGGATGGGAACAGTGAGGAAGCGTGGGGGGAACAGAGAGGAAGGGCAGGAGAGAGGAGGAGGAGAGAGCCTGGGGCTGCTGGAACCCACCCCGAGGCTGGCAGGCTCTCCCCTGACCCCTAGCCCTGCGGCGGGCAGCACCACTGCCCAAGGCATGCCACCCAGCTGCTTGCCACCGGACTGGTTTCCGGTTGTATCGGTCCAACCCCTTGTATCGGTCCAACCCCAACTGGGGCACGGCCTCCTGCGACTCTGATTTAAACACTTGCCACTGCCTCCACTTCCTCCATTCTTACTGTACACTTAAGACAAAAGCGAGAAGTCTCACACAGAGTTATTGCTTCACACTCAGTCAAAACCTCACTCGGTGTTACATCGTGTCACCCACTTTGGTTCTGATGAGGAACAGCCAACAGTGCAGGGACAAAGTGGACCGTCATGGCACTGCCAAGCACGGACAGCCCTCGGACCCCTGCACACAGACAGGGCAGGGGCTAGGGGTGCAAAATGGGCCAGCACTGTGGAAAACAGTTGGACTGTCCCACAGCAATTACTTACTACTTACCAGCCCAAGGTGCACGGAGAACGAGTCAAGCATAAATGTGGGTGCTGTATTCGTGGCCCAAGCACAGGTGTGCCCGTGACCAAGGCAGCACCACGTGGGGTGCTAAATGGCATCAACGACCTAACCAACCGTCCAGCAAATCCCAGCACAGACACATGATGGAATTTCATTCAGCCACGAAAAAGAAAGAGGAGGCAAACATGCCACAGCACGGATGGCCAGAGAAGACGGCAGGTGCAATTATATCAGGCAAATGCAATACCACCCAGCTCCACTCAGATGCCATAGCTGGAATCGGCAAATGGGACAAAACACTAACGGGGCTTACCAGGGTGTAGGGGGGAGGAAGGAGGGCTGTCATTCAGTGGGCCCACTGCTTCTCTCTGAAGGATGGTGGTGACAGGGGCAAAACAACACAACGGCGGCACATCGCAGCAGCAACAGTGACAAGGTCTCTGTCATACATCTTACTACGCTAACATGACAACACTCTGATAATAACTTATCTTTGGGAAAAAAAAAGCAGGAAAGAAACGGAACAGTGACTTCACAGGATTTTCAGAACAGCTCAGCTTGAGTTTTCCTTCTCGAAAGAGCCGAGTAAAGCCACCCTACCGTGTGGGGTTGGCAGTGCTGGCTCTGCTGTCTGATGGCATGTGAGAGGTGTCGGAGGCGTCCCATCATCAGCGAGTGGCCTCTCCTAGTACTTCACACAAGGGGTAGCACCGTGGCAGGGCCGGGTGAGCTGCCGCTTGCACTCCAGCATCCCATATCGGAAGGCTGCTTTGAGTCCCAGTGATGCTCCGGGGAAGGCAGATGTTAATGGCTCACATGAGCAGGCCCCTTCCACCCACACTGGAGACCAGCATGGAGACCCTGGCTCCTGACGTCAGCCTGGCATGGCCCTGGCTTTGGTGGTCACCCGAGAGGTGTGTAATGACTGCTGGACCCAGGGTGAAGATAACTTGTCCCCGCATCAGGTAGGAGTATGAACTAGCCCTTGCCTGCCACAAGTTCTGGGCCAGTGCCTTACCCTGAATGTCTGCTCCATTTTCTCCCGGTGGGGCACCTGGTCCAGAGTGCCATCCGTCTGGCTCCTTTTCAGACTGGTTGGAATGTCAGGGACATTGCTGAAATCTGTGGGAAAAACAAGAGAACAGACCTGAGACCAGCCATGTGCACAGAGGAGTTGATTCCAGAGAAGAGAAAGCAGGAAGACAGCGGACAGCCCAGAAGGCAGTTCCAAGGGCCCCTCACACCACTGGCAGTCCAACAGGCACAGCTGGGCTTACGAAAGGACGTGTGCCTGCTTACTGAGGAAACAGCATCCTGTTGTGGCCAAAGCAGACCAGTGAACACCATCCCTTAAGTGCTTTGTCATTCTCTTCATGACTATGCAAATGGATTCGCCCCAAGCTCTGTCCTCAACTTTTTTTGAACCAAGAATCAAACTGCAGAGACTTATGGCAGGACTTTCTCAGTGGGGCAAACTGCAAGGGGATGTCGTGGAAAACCAAAGATGTTCTATCAGAGCTGCTTATTGCAACCCACCACTTGATGGTTTGCATGCATGATTCTTTTTCTAGTGTCAGTCAGTTTCATTCAAAATGTAAAGTCCCAAGGGCAAAAACAAACTCTTGCTAGCAAGGATTCAGAAAGAATACTAAAGGTAAACAGAGCACGAGCACATAGGTCTCCAAACCCATGACAATATGCACATCCCCTCCTCAATAATTCCAGCCACAATTTTCAGGTTAATAAGCTCAAGATCACTGGGCTTGTTGCTCTTAGCACCAGGCACCAACCATCTGCATCCTCTCTCCAACATGCAAGCACTCAACCTTTACCTGGAAGACAAGAGCTGCACTGGTGCGTGCCCTCACACACAGACCCAGCCGTGCTCACAGCGGTCCCCGGCCCACCACCTGCCAACCTGGGTCATGCCCCTACATTCACACAATCCCATCAAGTGCTAGGAGAAGGAAGGAAGAGGCCAGCCTGCCAGGAGCGAAAGAAAGCTTTAGGCGTGGGTGGCCCTGCGGATGTGGACGATAGCACAGGAGGACATCGATGGCATGGACTAGTAGGGATCTGAAGAGGAGGAGGAATGTTGGGGTCCGTGTAGTAGGTGTGGATGGTACGAAGGTGTGAAGAGAACAGCTCCCCCTGCTTGGCAGGGCCTGGGGGAGCTTCCAGCTGTTTGGCAGGGCCCGGCGGATTTCTCTCTGACCACCCTGACGCTGTTTCACCCCCTGGCTGCATGGACACTCAAGCACCCCACTAAGAATTCTGTATTTTATTGAGGCATTGTTTGCCACTGATGTGAGCTTGAAAGTTAACGTCACTGATAATGTCTTGGTGAGTGGGCCTTTGACAATTTACACACAGGAGCACAATTAAGCCCATGCCATTTCTGGACACTTTATTGTGTACCTACTCATTGCCCTGAAATCGGGCCCAGACATATACCATGTCTTCTGGGAAATGGCTTAATAAGAATTTTACAAAGTAATGGAAGTGATGGGAGTGAGAGCTGAAACTGCTATGGCAATAAATATAACTATTGTTATCTCAAAGGCTAGCTTGTCTTTGCAATTTTTAGGAGTGTAGGAAATGTAATTGTTTTAGCTGCTTTTATAATTTTTAGCTAGAGGAATTAAGGATGCTTTATTAAAGAAAAATGCTTTTGATTATTGTCTTATTGTTTATGGGGTTGTAGGAATCTATAGTTGTAGGGGGATTTAACATTTGAAGTTTCTGTTTTAGATTTTAGGTTTTTCCCTTGTAACCTATTTTCCCATTAAATGATGGGTAAATTGTAGAAGTAGAAATGTGGTTTGAAAGTACTACTAATTAGCAGGCAATCGCATGTGCCTTGGCCTTGGAGTCCTGGCTGTTGCTCCATGGCTGCTGTTGTAGAATAAACAATAGCTTGCTTTGAAGAATATGAATACAGTATTTCACAAAATTATCTTTAGGAGCACCTGCTTAGCCTTGAAGTGCAGTTGAAGTGACCAAATATCTGTACATGCCCCCTTAATTTTGAAAAGAAAAAAAAAATAAAATAGTTGCTTGTGCAAAAGCTTGAGAAAGGTATTGAGTAAATAAAAGGACAGCTTTTTCTTGAATTGTGGTGAGAATGCACCAAGTGTCTGTATCTATGTCTTTCTTTATCGCTGACTCCATGCACCCTTCCCGAACTCCAAACTCGGCTAGAGCTGGACTCCGGCAGAGGAAAGTAAAGGAGGAAAAGAAGCTGGTGAACAGTGACCTGCAAAGGAGAATTCAAAGGAAGCCAAAACTCCCACACTTTGTGCCAAGACTCACATCACACAGCAGATTCAGTTACCAGGGCTGGTTACCCGGGAAGGTCAAGCCCCAAGTGACCCCTCTCTGCGTCACTTCCTCCTCAGGCCACATGCACACCGCCATTCAAGGGAGGTCAGTCAGTCCCACAGCCCCTTCCTGCAGTCAGCATGACTACGTCTCTGCACCCATCCACTCAACACGCACTCGGTGGGCACAACCTCCTGCCCTGACGTTAGGTGCCAAGGACAGGGGATGAGTAAGAGGCTCTCAAGGTCTGTGTTGGTTTTGCTAATGATGTTGCTAATGATGTAATGTCACAGACTGGTTAAGCTATAAAGAAAGGATGCTGATGCAGGCTCGTGGTGCTGGTTCAAAGTCAAGGAGGTAGGAACATGTGTGGACGGCCTCTTGCAGTGCAGGGGACAGGGACTGTGCAGGTAGGAACATGTGTGGACGGCCTCTTGCAGTGCAGGGGACAGGGACTGTGCAGGTAGGAACATGTGTGGACGGCCTCTTGCAATGCAGGGGACAGGGACTGTGCAGGTAGGAACATGTGTGGACGGCCTCTTGCAGTGCAGGGGACAGGGACTGTGCACGTGTGTCTGCATGCACTCGGTCTTTCTCCCTCTTCTCTTAAAGCCACAGGCATTCAGTTATGGGGGCTCCAAGTTGTTGACCTTTATCTAACTCTCATCATCCTCAGAGGTTCCCCTTGAACACACCTCAGTCCCATGACGTTCCAAGCCTCTCAATGATGCCTCACATGAGTTTCCACAGGGACAAACTGTTCAAACTGTAACGATTTCAGCCTCTAATCTGAGCAGCGGTGATTGGTGGGGCAGCGGAGCCAGAGCTCAGTACAACTGAGTGTCACGGATGATACGGGGTGAAGCCATACAGGCTAAATGTATTCTCCACAGGTCTTTAAAAGGCATCACAGAAAAGGGGGAACTTGAGGGGACCAGCAATGTGGCATAGTGGGTTCAGCTGTTCACTGCAACATCAGCATCCCATATGGCAGCCAGCTCAAATCTTGGCTGCTCCAATTCCAAGATCCAGCTCCCTGCTAAGGTTCCTAGGAAGTCAGTACAGGATGGCCCACATGGAGACCAGGTTGGAGCTCTAGGTTTTAGCCTAGCCGAGCCCTGGCTGCTGCAGATATTTGAGGAGTGAGCTGGCTCATGGAAGATCTCTGTGTGTCTCACTCCTTTCTGTAACTATCTTTCAAATAAATAAATCTTTAAGAAACTAAGAGACACTTGAGTCGAGGCTTGAAATATAAGAGGCATCTATCTAATTAGCTTAAGACAACACAGGATAGGCAGTGAGAGAGGGTTCCACAAACACGCAGCAGCTGGGTAAGTGCAAGCGGTGAGTCAGGCAGGATGGGGAGTTTGTTGAATGCAACCGTGGCAGACATAAGGGAAGTGAGGGAGGCGGGCCTATGATGGAACGATGGAGCAAGGGCAAGAGCTTGGCACAGGGGCAGGTAAGAAAGCTGCAATAACACAGCAGGTGTGATGGGCAAGGACCCAAGTCGACACACTAGAGCACAGACACCCAGCGGTAAGCAATGGCAGGATGAGGTCAACGCCAGGGGTCACCAACACAGGGGTGAAGCCAGGGGTCACCAAGACAGGAGTGAAGCCAGGGGAGCCCAGGAAGGCCAGGAGTGGGGAGCCACAAGCCTGCTAGACTCAGCACAGTTGAGTTGGGGGTGCATCTGGACCATCCAGGGGCAGACGGTCAGTGCTCAGCACCCCAGAGGCCAAAGCCCAGACAGGCGCTCCCAGAGGCAATGCTTTAGAATTCAGGAGAATGCACCTGAACCAACAAGGGAAGCAGTAAGTGACCAATGTTGAGACCAGCATCTGGAACATTCAACGTATGAAGGTGTGTACTGTATGAAGGTGTGTACTGTATGAAGGTGTGTACTGTATGAAGGTGTGTACTGTATGAAGGTGTGTACTGTATGAAGGTGTGTACTGTATGAAGGTGTGTACTGTTTGAAGGTGTGTACTGTATGAAGGTGTGTACTGTTTGAAGGTGTGTACTGTATGAAGGTGTGTACTGTATGAAGGTGTGTACTGTATGAAGGTGTGTACTGTATGAAGGTGTGTACTGTTTGAAGGTGTGTACTGTATGAAGGTGTGTACTGTATGAAGGTGTGTACTGTATGAAGGTGTGTACTGTATGAAGGTGTGTTCTCAGGGAGACGAAGATTTCTTTTCTTTAGGAACTGCACCTTCCCACTAATTCTTTGACTCATTCAAGTTAAGAAAGCTTTGTGTGTGAGCAGCCCCTGCTTGGGGCTGATTATCTGCCAACACCCCAAGCAGACAGACCCAGATATCTGGCACAAAAGCCAACATGACGGATGGTGTCCGACAAACTGGGCCCATGGCAGGTAGGCAGAACGCACAAGGAGAGAACCCTGGGAATGCCAGCGCACAGAGAGGGGAGACAGAGGAACTCTCTCGGAAGGCGTTTCTGTGTCTGCAGCTAAGGAAGCCATGCAGCGCAGAAGGACCCCCCCACCCCCACCCGAGACAGGACCCAATGTACACGACAGGTGCCACACTCTTTTCAAACAGTTATATCAAGTGCAGGAAACCAGTCGCAGTCCACACATTCAGGGATTTGTGATGAAACCTACTAAACAGCAGGCAGGTCACAGAGAACGAGACCTTGAGGGCCCCAGAGATGGCTGAGCCGCAAGGACACAGGTGCCTTGCAGCCTAGGGCATGCTCCAGGAAGCAACACAGGAGACGCTGACAGTGGGCGCAAGGGGAACTCCTCACCCTCTCTTCAATACATTCTGGGAACT